AGATTGAAATTTAACCAATCACAGTAAAGTTTACTAATCTCAAATTCAGTAACTTTTACTCTGATTGGTCAAATTTCAATCTAATCCCAATCTCAATCCGTAGTCTGATACGGGCTTTAAGCCTATCACACAATGCCTGCGATGGGTCAATTCAGTCAGACACATAAGAATTAACCAATCATAGTCGACTATTTTTACGACATTTTGCCACAATTTCTTTCAACTTGCATTTATTCGTTCATAAAGGAATATTCTTTTTTTAGTTAGTTATTCTTTCCTCTCTCTCTCCCTCCCTCCCTCTCTCTCTCAAACGTATCGATTGGCTGCGGAATAGAGAATTTCTGAGCGGAAGACGATTGCTCCGCGAACGTCACTGCGCAGACGCGCGCGCAAAAAAAAAGGGGGAAGGAGTCTCGTTATCGTCTCTCTTTATTTACCTTGGCTTCTCCAATTGTAAGTTTGACTCGAGAGACGCTCCGGCTATTTTTACGGCATCTGTGCTGTTATAGGTGTTTATTTGTAACAATGTACGCGTTGAACGTGGGTGGTATGTAGCTTTTAATATCGAGGTGTGCCAAAGAGGTTGTTACGGGAATGGAAAATAGCAATGAATGATGATTGTCGAAAATTCACGGCGTCTCGTGAGCGAGTCGCGAAAAATTACTTTCTGCGCTCGCTTTCTTTTAGGAGACTCAGGTTCACGATGCGTCGCACAGAAGTCCCGTCTGGGCAGTCGAGCGGTTCGCACGTCTTCCGACGGAAGATAAATTTTTGATCCTGCGGGATTGCATCATCCCGCGCGTGGCCCGGTTACCGGGCCATTGCATTGTTTAACTCATATTTAGCCTATTGGTTCGACGTGGCCGTGTGCTATAGGGTGGGGACTTATACATTGGAGGACAATTGGTTCGACGTGGCCGTGTCGGCTCAGCGTTTGAGCCGGGAGCCATAGGATAGAAGAAGAAGAAGACGATGCGTCGCGATTAGTCTCGCTGGTAGAGGTCTGCCGTCGTCAGTATGAACGTGAGTGACGCGGAGACGTACGACGAGGACGTCAACGATCAACCGGTCGATTACAGCAAAAAGTACGTCGAGAGGAATGCCACGCCGCAGAATCAACGCCCGGCCGACGGTTCGCAGGCGAGCCACGTGTCGAAGAAGGAGTTCGAGGAGCGCGACAGCAAGGTGGACCTGTTCGGCGACTATGCCGAGACCGATCTCGATCAGCCCACGGATTATAGTCTGCGATACGCCGAGGACGACACCGACGAGGAGGAGAAGCAGGACAACGAGTACTTTCCCGGCAGCGAGCAGGAGGACACCGTCAAGACTTATTGCACGGAGGGAACCCCATACGAGACTCCCTTCAACTTCTCCACGGCCACTTCCATGTCGGATCTGCGAGTTGAAGACATAAAAGAGAACGTACTTGTGAAGAAGCTGCCGAAGAAGCCGACCGAGGCCAGCAAAGTACCTGTGTCCTTCATCAAGCAGACCGAGCCTCTTAGTTGCGACGAGCAGAGTGATCTACGAACGAAAGAGCTCGAGGAGGACAATTCGAAGGACGCCGCCGTTCTTAATCCTGGACAAGTGACGCCAGAGAAGATGGTCAATTATTACGAGGAGGAGGAGACGTCTCGTGGCTTCTCACGCGCCAATTCGCTTAGCTCTCTGAGTAGCGCGAATACTCCTCAGAACAATGTCACGGATGTTATGTCGAAGGAAGATTTACCGCCTCCCGCGAATAAGGAAGAGTTGGAAAATGCTGACCGCAGTGTTGCAAGGCTGAGCAGCAATCAAACCGAACTGTCGTCGGTGAACGATACTTCTTTTGAAAATAAGAGCAGCCCACGTGTGTTAGATAAAGAAGGTTTGTATATTAAATTGGCACCAAGAACACAAACGTATATTTTTATACGTAATTTTAACAAATATATATTAAATATAATATCAACATCAAATTCGGTTCACCGTATCTGGCAATTTTTATGTTTAGGAATCGCTACGTTTCGACCACATGGGTTTCGGTCCTTTTCAAACGATCTGACTGAGAAAGTCATGTACATGGATTCGCGTGTATTTTGGTGATGTAGAAAAGATTGTCTTTATATTCACAAAATGCTATAAAAGTTCCATGTCGAGGTTTGCTACAGGAGAACATTGTTAGAAAGATGACGGAGTTTGACTAGTCAAAATACATTGTACATGATTTTCTCAGTCAGATCGCTTGAAAAGGACCAAAACCCATGGTCGAAACTTGGTGATTCCTATAAAAAACATAAAAATTGCCAGATACGATCAACCAAATTTGATGTTGTTAATTATTGCTGGCGATTATCTGAAGACTATTCTTGTTACTTTAAATATAATACGTTGGTAAGAAAGGATATCGCGTATGTTCCAGGAAAAATGGTGACATTCGGTGGCCAAGATTACTACACGGAAGAAACCCCTTTAATGTTTTCACGCTGTAGTTCGCTTGGCTCGTTGAGTGGTTTCGAGCAATATTCCATCCACGATGACCGTAGTTCTGTGATCAGTGACTTTAGGTGCGCTCGGTCGTTTGAAAACATAAAATTCATCTGTGTGAAATACAGAAATTATATTAAACAGTGATATTATAAGAGAACACTATAATTGCATTTTATTTTCAAGTTTGTCATTTCTAAGCGAATATCTTCAATTGTTTTGCTTGATACAATTTTAACTCTTCCAGTTGTGCGTAAAATAACGCTTTCATTATTTCCTCAGCCGTAGGACCAGTGGCGTAGTCTCGCCCAGTGAACTGCCTGACTCGCCCACGCAAACAGTTTTGCCCAGTCCACGCAATCATAAACCCCAGAATGCAGAATTTATATCGAAGATACAAGACGAAGCAGTAAGACCATCAGTCCGGCATTTATGTAGGCAATGCTATTACCAGTACAACGATGATGATAATAATGTAAACATTTGTCTGTCCAGAAAAATTGTCTAAATTTCATATTTGTTGCAGCATTTTCTAAACCGCCTGCCACCAGGACTAGTGTTTTCGAAGATGACATTGCCACTTTCAAGGAAGAATCAACACCAATCGAATTTTCCAGTACTACCAGCCTGAGCTCTCTTACAATCGACGACGAAATCAAAATACCCAATGACACTAAGACATATCGCACAATGGAAGGAACATTTGATACAAACGAGAAAGACGTTCGTGCACTCGAGAAAGATATGCTTGATATGAAAATAAGTAGCTCAGATAATAATGTGAAAGAGGAACAAGTAAGTGACGGCGATGAAGATGGCGAGGACATGTTGGATGCGTGTATTAACATGGGAATGGGAATGCAGACTAACAGGTAACATAGTCAGAAAACAATTGAAAGTCCCCCTATTATTAGATAGACTCCTAATACGAGATAGCGGAGTTTCTACTAAATTAATAGGCATCGTCTGTTGGTTCCATCATGAATTTATTGCCTTTTGAGTGAAATCTGTTTAGTGGAAAAATTAATTGTTAGATCATGTAATCGTTGCGAAAACAAGATTTGTGATAAAATTTGGACGTTAAAAACCTGCTATCTCATATTATCATCCTATCTCATAATAGAGGACTTCCTCTCTTAAACGGACTTGTTAGATGATTCAAAATAAAATACAAATGTATTTACACAGATATAGACAGTCTCTGAACTCTCAGAAGTCTGTGCAATCAGAGTCGACGAGCATCCTAGTGACGTATCAGAGAAATTCTAACCCAGCCAGATTGGAATCACACGCGACTCCCGTCAAGACGCCTGTCGGTACTTCGAAGAGTAGAACTGCAATGGAAATCGTTGCTTCAGACACCGTACATGTGTATTGTACGGAGGATACGCCCGCAGATATCTCTCCGGTGGGATCTCAATCCAATCTGTCTGCTCTCTCAATGCCAAGTGTACAGGAGGATATAGAGAAGATTGTGTGCGAACAAGACAAATCGGTCGAAAGCGACAGAAATGACTTGTTTGATGAAAATTCCAATCTTTCGGGCGAAGATGAGAAAATATTGGACGAATGCATTCAATCGGGCATACCTAAGGTATTAACTTCTTCAATTACTTATTTTATGTATTTGTTGTTCTCCAAAAATTGATTATTACTCCCTCGTATTATACAATCTTACGCTATTCTATTCTGAAAATTTTATTTTTTTTAATCGGTCTCTTATAAACTAAAGCGTTTGTGGAATCAAAGTCTCGTTATAAATTTTCTTTTTCTTTTTCAACATTTACTCCAGCCGTAGAATCTAGATTTGCTAAAAAAACATCTCGCATCAAGATTTAAAGATGTAATAATTTGAGAAGTGTGTATATATATACATATATATATATATATTAACAGATATAAAACTCACATTGTTGTAACTAGCCTGTTTATCATTGTTTTTGTTTCACAGGCAAGACAATCAGCTCCACCTTCAACAAACGGCATTCTGTTTGGTAAAAAATCTGAAACACTATCGCATAAGTTTAACAAGTGCGGTACACCGTCATCTTCACCCGTTGAGACGAGTCATGGAAATAAAAATTCCATATTGAGTCCCAAATCACCAGGTAGCGCGTCATTGAGACACCCAGACGAATTTTCAGACGATAGCCTGAATCATTCAGACGACGATGCAATTTTGACGGACTTTATACAATCTGCAATGCCAAAGGTTGTTTTAAAACTGAAACATTAATATTTTTGCAACCGTTTCTATAGACTGTTATATATGCAGCAATTAATAGTTGATTATATTTTTTATCAATTTATTTTTTAGGCAAGATTTAATTTATCGCCGCCAATTAGGCCGCCGTTAGTACAAGCTGCGGAAAATCGTACAACGATCAGCATACAGCTGTCATCCTCCACCTCATCAACATTTTATCAGTCAAGGTATATGGAGCAAAAGAAAAGTATAGTGAAGAAATTCTTACCTTTCGAAGACAATGTCGGACTTTCTGAAGAAGAAGAAGATATTATGTTAGCACAATGTATTAGGTCTGGTATGCCAAAAGTAAGTTGTTTATCTAAAAAAAATACACTTGCTTAGCAGATACTAACGAACGAATACCTTAAAAACTATACTAACAAAGGACACTTTTCTATTTTACACTTGGGATATTCTATATTTAGAAATGGTAATATATAATATAAATTCATTTTCAGGCATCAAATTCCATGCCGTCTACAACAATGGCATCCACAGCCAAAAAACCTGAACCATCTCTGAAAACTACAGCCAATTTTCCTATCCCTTCAGCTTCCTACTTTGCAAACAAGTCTCCTTCTGCCAGGAATACCGTGCTGTATTCACCATCCTTGTATAAATCTACGAATGTCAACACGGCGGATGTGCGTTTCACTAGAAGCGTATCCGGCAATTTTAACCACTTTCCTGGGAAAGCAACAAGCAGTAGTACGGCACAGACCTCCGGGCAAACATTAAAACACTGTGATAACGGTACACGCGACAGGATAAACAATTCGCCGCATTGTACTCGAAGATCACCGCTTCGTCATACGGAAAGTCAAAACGGTAATTTCGTTGATAATCTGTGTATGCGATCTCGCGATGTAAAGTGCGGGCCGATGTGTAATAGAGTCCAAAACGACGACGAGTACACGTGCAAAACTCACAACACAGTGAAATCCAATACGGTGCCTTCGCGCCACAGTTCAGGAAGTTCCCTCAGTGAAGAAGGTTCCACGGAGGAATGGGCGCTGCTAGAATTGTGTATCACTTCTGGTATACCTAGAAGCAAGTGTCAAGTTAAAGGATCGAAGCCTGATGAGAATGCAATTTCCAACAGTCACGATGACTGCGAGCCGATACCGGAGGACAATTACTCGGTGTGCAGTTACAATTCTTATATTTGTAAGACATAACATGCGCGTATCGCATATACTATGATAGAGTTTTCTCTCTCTGTCTGACAATTTGTACATGCAATATTTGCAAAAAAGACTGAATATTTTTGTATCTTAATAAATAAAGAAAAATTTGTGTTTAAAATATTTAATGAAAAATCCCTTTTCGAATTAAATTTATATACATGATAATTCAATTATATAAATGATATTTCAAATATCAAAGCTCTTGCATTTTTTATATTAACAGTGTAAAAAATTTTATATGCCTGCATTCTTTGTGTAAGTTCATACTATTTAATTTCCATTATTTTAGAGTCAATTTAATCAATCGTTTTCTTTTTGATGATTAAATTTTTAATCGTTTAATACTAATCACAATGTGTAGAAAATGGTTATTTTTCTATATGTTATTAATTTATAATAAATTTTTCACTTTGAATGAATTTTTACTTGACCTCTTTAGTGGTCAAGTAAAATCATCAACATATATGCCATATAATTATAGGTTTACCATCGTACTCTATCGAGATTATAATTGAAACCAAACTACATTTCTAAATTCCAAATGTGTAATATTATTCGTAAATTGCTGTTACAGTTGCGGAAAAACATGCACTTAGACCGGAAATTTTAACTTGGCTGTTTTTAGATCGATCTAATGTAAATTTCATTTATATGCCATTGTACGTGTGGCATTACTTTAGCGTGTCGTATAATTAAATAGAGAACAAGAACATTTATATATTCCCACAAAGACAATATTGGGAGCGATTTTCACTTATTTAGGGATTATGGGATTTTGTGTATCCGATGTAGAACTGTTCAAATCGATCTCGAGGAAATTATGAATAGAACTTGTCCATCTTTTCTTATTTAGACATAAATAATTTCTAAATTGCCTATTTTTCACAGGATTTCTCTCAAACTTTCGTATATATTCGCAAGGGTATTTATCATGTTGAAATACTTTTCCCGCGACGGAAATCGATGGATTCTATCCATCATCGGGAAGAAAATAGTAATGTCCGGGTGGTCATATGGTAGGCAGTGAGTACTAACATAGTTTTTGCCAGCGATTGCGGAGAATGGTCGGTCGAGCGTGAAGTCCGGCCGCCTTTTGACCGCTACCTTGATGCCCTTCGATGACTCGTAATGACTACCTGCACGGCATCATAGTCTATTTTCTGCACGTATAAATGTACGCGATGCACTACCCGCACGACCGTCTTTCGCAGTGCAGCGCGACGTGTCCGTTCGTGAAGAGGTCTCCGGAGGAGTGCAGATTTTTCCAGGTAAAGCTCTCTATGGGCATTTATGTGCATTTGGAGCGGTCTCGGCCCTTTCAGATTTTGCTTCTAAAAGCTTTCGATCGATTCTTCGGTGTTTTTTCTCCCTTTGTGTTCGAGCATATCACACATTTTTTAACAGAATATAAAAATTCAATAAATAACAAGTGATAAAAGATAAGTATGAATTTGTGTGAATTCAAAAATAATATTTTCGCAACATATTACAAACAATTCAACGCCGTGAAAATTTCATGATTGGTAACTTTCCAAAAGCAAAAGCGGTAAATTCCGGTATTCTTCTATCATTTTGGAGTTAATGCCTGTATTTTTTATGTTGTTTAACAATTAGACATATATTTTAAAAACCGACGAAGAAAGTAAGTAAACTATATATTGGCACAGATGAAACTGTTGTATGGATTGAAGAGATAAGAAAATAGGACAAAAAAGTGGAACAGGTGCAAACGTAAATGTTATCAGTAGCTCGCTTCTAATGGATTTTATCTGGCGAATTTAAATATCTGTACCAGAATATTTTTCAACTCGGAGTGGATAATATTGTTCATCAAATATCATTTACAATATAATAAAAATAAATCTTGAAGAAGTGTTTTTAATAATCAAATAAAAGTTTCTAACACTTTATGGTAGTAATCCACTTTTAAGGTACTTATTTCCTTAGGAACTTTTCCTCCTCGATTCTCTGGATTTTCTAAATTTTGTTTGTAAATTTATCAGAACGCGGCATTTATATAAAAGAGAAAAGGAGAGTGTTCCTTAGTTTCTTCAAACTGTATGCACTTTTGTCAGTTTGCACGTTTTCGCTAAAAGAGGATTCGAAACTGTCAGAGAATTTCTTTCTTTAACTCGAAAAAGGGGCACAGTTTAATAAAGTTAGTTTTTAGTTAGGGAGACCGTGCAAAAAAAACAAAGAGAAAGGGAGAAAATGTAGTCGCGTCACTAACCCACATTCATATCGTTGGTCCTGAGAGGCTCGTGTGCGTTTAAATACAGATGCACCCTCGTGCTTTCCACGTCCTTGCCCTCGCACTGACTGCGGTCGTAAGGGCCGGCTGTGACGATAAAACAAAATGGTACTCTGGGTTACGGTCCATAATCAAGAATTGCCCATCGCTCTCCCGGAACAGCTCCGACCAGGATGAATTATTGGACATTTTTCGAAAATGCGTGCAGCGGAGAGCCATCGACACCTTAGATGCCTTCCTCGACAACGACGTTATTACGATATTCGACGGAGTCGATCTGATACGACTTCGTCCGAACGACGAAAACAATACGGAATATAAGTGAGTTGAGTTTTATAATTATCCAATTTCTATAATTAAAGAGAGAGGGAACAAATAGGCGCAGTAGGGAAGTGAATCAGAAATAGAATCCTGTCCGATAAAGGCTTAAGGCTAAAGGTATGCGAATCAGGGAGAATATTGTCATCGAGGGAGCTGTGGAATTTCATTGAAACTTGCTGCAATAGATATTAATATGCATCGGAGCTTACTGCAGTAAGATTGTAATTTGTTACATGAGAATTCGTTGAATTTCGGAAGAATGTCTTGTCTACCACGTGCTCAAAGTTCAGAGCCTTGTACTCGAAACCTCCAGTTATCTTCGATAATATTGAAGAAATGAGAAGAGAGAAAAGCATTTATTTCGTGTATCTCTGGCATGTTCTCGTTTTTTCGAAACTACGCAAGATCATCGCATTAAGCGACACTATACATTACACAATTAAACGAAGAATTGGGTTTGGAACAACAATGCGCTGAACGACATGGAAGAAATTTACGGTTTCGTAGTTATTCTGATAATTCGCAATTGCGATTGAAACTTCACATATTTTTTTCGGATTTGACGTTACAAAACAAATACTAAAGAGATAAAAAAATATTAAATCCGTACGCGATTGTTGTTTACCCGCGATTTTTCTAATATTACGTTTAATTCAGCGTTGTTGCAAACCCACCCCGAGCAAATGCGATTAAACCACACACGGCGATTCTCGACAGAGAGAATTCCGACGGATTGGGAGAGGACACCAGCTGGTCGGCGATCATCTGGAATCGAATGACACGCCTCCTGCGGACTCACGCTTTCAAAATTAACGTCGATCATATGTTTAACACAGCTGCTAACACATCCGCGCGAGATCCCGACAATAATATCGTTCAAGGTGAGTCGTAACCCTGGTGAAAAATTTTCTCTGAATTGTTTTATAATTTTTATGCAAATTTCACCATTTTCAGATTTTTTTAATACAAATTGGTACACTTTTCAAACAATGCCGAGAAAGGTTTATCTTTTTTAGAATTTTTCACATGTATGAATTCTGAAATATTCTGAGATTAATAATCCTATAAGATTTGAAAAAGATTTTTAACAGTTTTTCAGAAATTACAGAACGAGAAATCTTAGAAATGGAATATATTTCAGGATATTCGCACACATATGAGAAATTCTAAGAAAAGACTTTCTCAGTATTTTTGAAAAGTGTAGCAATTCGTGTAAAAATTCTGAGAAAGATGTTGACCGGGGAACGCACCGATTACAGACGCAAACTGTGAAACTGTAGTTAAAGTTAACTTGGAAAATTGGCGTCCCCCAGGTCGCAAACGCCGTTACCGTCGTAAACATACTATGTTCCCGCTGATGATGATGGGCCTGCTGTTGATGGGGACGATCCTAGTGCCGATGGGTTTTCAATTCCTCGCGGTGCTGGGCGGTAAGGCTCTGATCCTCGCGAAAATGGCCCTGATACTCTCCAGCATACAGGGGCTGAAAAAGATAGCCACCAGCGGCGTCAATTACGGATTGTACCACGTCCAGGACCACGGTTGGCACGACAGGAGTCATCAGGTGTTTCCCAACGAGGAAGAACATTATCCGGTGTACGTGTCTCCGCGTCCTTAGTTCCTCGCCAAGTGGAACGTTTGTGCAAGTCATTCGAGGAAGTTCCAATGCGACGCGTACTGTTACTTTCCTCGATAGTACAGGGGGTAAAATGAGCTCGGGATTGTCTCCTGAAATTGAATTATTCGTGGCGATGCTCTTGAATTTTTTAAATAATCACGTACAGCGATCCGCTCTATTTTTCCTCAGAGACGTTTCAGCCATCGCCGCACACATTTCGCCGCGGGCGGTTTCATCGCGCGAAGCGTTTTACAATCTTCACTTTGTGCCTGTCATAAAGCAGCGTATAACTAAAGGGCGTGCTCGAGTTATCCGCCGACGAAACTTGGAAAACGTCTTCGGTCCCGCGAAACATTTCCCTCGTCCCAAATTTTCTTTACGTTAATCTCAATCAAACTCGATTTTCATAGATTTAATAATTGTTATAAATTGTATTAAATTGACGGTTACGCGCAAAGGATTGATATTTACAAGTCCGTGTAGATTTGTAGGTCGCCGGCACCCACATGTTGATTTATCTGCCGCGGTAGAATTGCAAATCGGCAATTGCATTACTGATAAACCCATAAATAGACTGTATTATATATTTGCCGTTTGTTTCCATCCTCGTGACCATCGTTTAATCGTAAACATGAGAGTCCGGTCGCCCGTTCCGTTTTATTCTGACGTGCGAGTCTCGCGCGGGGATACAGTCTGTCATGTAAGAGCGTCGTTTGCGCACATCCGAGGAGAAAAAGATTGTTATTTTCTAGAAATACACGCGCGCAAACGGCTCTACTCGGAGCGACCTCCGAGTACCGTGTGCGTAAGAATGTACTTAAGTAGTAATTCTTTTTCGGATATTTATACGGACGTCGCTGATAAGTACAAATATCACAACGCATCAATCATGGATAATAATATTAATAGCTGCTATCGTTTCGTTCGCGGTCCTTATAATTTGCCGCAGTTTGGTGACAGTTGTCGAGATAAATTGCGTGGTTATTTATTCACGAGTGTCGTCGAGATATGTCGCATTTCGTATTTAACTTCTATACGGGGAAGCGTGCTTACACAATGTCCACCATTTACATCTAAATAGATGCCGTCAAGCAGAGCGATTTTGACGTCTATAGACTATCCTGGTTCTATCGTGTAAAAAAAAAACGCCGAGGCCTCTATATTGAGATATTGACCGATATTTGCTTCTGTGTTTGATTTCTGTATTTTAGCATAAGAGGAGGATACATCCGTTAATAAATGAGCGATTATCAGTCGGTATCCTTGTATCAATGCTTATTTCTGTGATTGTATAAAATAATATAATATACTACTAGTTAATTGACCCAGCAGGATTTATTTCCGAATTGTATCATGTCGATTAGTTTCAACATTTTATCTATAATCGTTGTGTATTACATAAGATTGCATTTATCAGCCTCGCTGCGAAGCGGCAAATATTCACGCGACACAATATTTTCACGGTTCACGATTATTTACAGCTACAATAGTCGCGGCGTATACTTATTTAAAATATTAGTTTCGACCTTTCCTTAGGTCCTCGTCAGACGAATGTTGATCATACGTTCGATTATAACGGTTTTCATCGCGGACCTCCGTTCAATTACACTCCTAGCTCGAGCGTAAAAAAAGAAGAAAAAAACGTAATAATACGCCTTCCCTTGGTGTTATCGTTACGGGGAAAATCATTTGTAAAGCTTACGGAAGCCGCCTCGAGCCACATTGGCACGGGCGACGACTCCTCGCGACCGCCATCGATCTCGATTACGGTGATATTTGAGATTGTCGGATGCGAAAGCCGGACGAGATCACGTCGGGACGAAAGGTGTATACATATGTAAAAGCATATATTATATTTACCTTTACCACAGGTGTATATGTACCTAAACCTGTACATAAATGGTAAAATGCGTTAATCGAGCGATCGTTTAACGTCCATCCTGCTGACAGGATGACGCGCACATCCTGTATCCCTGCCGGTTAACGTCGCTCTGTGATACCCTGACATACGCGCGCACACACACGCGCACTCACGATAACCGTGATACGAGCATCACCGTAAGCATTAATAACGAGGAACATTTAAAATGTCAACCCGTTCTCTCTTCAATGTAATACTCGTATAGCCGTTGACGCGGAGCGCTGCGATAGTGATTTTCGCATCTGCAAAAGAATCTGTCGATAATCCTTGTTCCCTTTGACATTCGCTTGCGATACTCGCGAAGCTTATATATGAGCGCGGTATAATCAATGATATATTTCAAATGCGAGTTCGCCGAGGTTTCAAATAGAATAAGAGAGAAAAAGTTTCGGCGTGTGCGCACCTTGAATTATTAATTTTTCTCATTTGTCATTGCGTCTAAATTGTATTGTTAATCTCCCGTTGCTCCCGTAGCTAATAAAGAACGAAAGACTCTTCCCCCTGACGGTCTTAGCTTAAAAAAATTAAGAAATAAAATAAATGTGGAAACAACCTTACTGGCACTTCTTTATTATATTATAAATTCACAAGGTTTCGGCCAGTAATTACATAAGTACCCGCAAATGTAAGATTCGTCAAAGTTAAAGATGCAAAAATCATGTCACACGTCAGAGATTTTTATTTCTTAATTTCTCGATTGGCGTCAATTGCTGTTGAATCGTTAAAAACAATGGTCGAGGCACCTGTAGCCGTTGAAACTATCGACGAATTTGTAGAAAGAGGACATTCTTCGAGTACAATACAATTTTAAAGGCGCGAATAATCGATGCAAATGTCTTAACGAAATGTCGGTTATCTAAAAGTTGTCTTATGAAAACGTCGTACGTATGAAAATAGTGAAAACGCTCGACTGGAGTACTTATGTCCTCCTGAAACGGACAAAGCGCATATAGTGTCCCCGTCTCCAAAATCAGCGCGTAGAGCGTAGTGGAGCGCGTAACAATAAGGCTCGGGGGTTGCGCGCAGCCACGACGAAGCGAGGAGGCTGTGCGAGGTGCGGACTAGCCGCTATAAGAGGGACGCCGTGCGTCGCGACGCCATCAGAACACCTGCCGCGCTCGGACCGAGCTCGCCGCAACCCCCACGATCTCTTGCGCCGCCACTTCGATCTCTCCGCAACGATCGAAAGGCGAGGGAGGCCGCCGGTCCTGCCGCGAGGGAGAGGCTCCAGTTCTTACTCGGCTCGCGTTGTCGCCTGTTTCCCTTTCTTCCCGATCTCGCCGTCGGTGAGAGATGTTCTCCAAGTCAACATCAACGTCGATCTTTCTGATCATCGTCCTCGTCGTCGTCATCGGCGCGACGTTTCACGTTGCGAGAGCAGCGATCGGCAACGATCATCGTCATCAACAGGTAAATGCACGCTATTATTTCAATATACATTTATTTGTCGATTACGTGGGCATTTTAAAAAAAACTTAAGATTTTGGAATTTAGAATAATTTATAAGACTTGTACAAAATATAATTTGAAGCAACATATTCTTGACAATTTACTATTACAAGTGTAAAATAAATAATTTCTTAAGATTGAGTAGAATAATCGTAACACCATTAAACTAAAAGAGAACAACCGCAATATTTTTTAATGAAAGAGATGTAACTGGAATTTATAATAATAATTTTATAATACTTATATTAAACTGTGTATTAGCCCTTCTTAAAAAATTGTATGATAAACTATGCATACATCGCAAAAAACCATTTTACCATTTTCTTTATTTTTGTGTCACCCAAACAATTGTTCATTTTAATTATCACTATATTTTTATGGCTTTTATTTCCCCTCCCGTTAATTCTTGAATTAATAATAATTGAATGAAAGATAATGAACAAGATAACTGCGATCAGAACAAATGTGATATTGGATTATCTTTAAATGAAAATAAATTGCCCTTGTTTTAATAATATTAAAAGGATACTTTTTATTTATGGGTATTTTATTTATGTGTACTTTTCGCAAGAAACCATTAACAAACAACGATTGGGTGAAAATATTGTGAATTATTCAAATGTATTGTAATTATCTTGATTAAAACGTTTACTTAAAAATTTATATTAACAAGGTACCTCAAAATCTCTGAATACATATACAATTTAATTATTTCCCGTTTTTAATTTCTTTTCTTCTACCGAAAACAAGCAAGTCGAAGAAGTGATTCATTTAAGAATCATTTTAGCGTAACAAAGGCGATAAAAATGAAATTACTTTTACAGGGACCAAGCTATGCGATAACATTATTACAAGCTCCTTCCGCAATTACAAAGCTCTTTTTTAAGAACACTAATTGCCTAATTAACTTAAATTTTTACTGTATTTTGTGCTGCATTCAACGATTGTCGGATGACTCGAATGTTTCAAGTAACAGTTTCAAAAATATACTTAATACATAATCGGATTTATGTGCATTTATAGAATACACTAATAAATTTTAATAAAATTAGAGAATTTAATTCTATATAAAAATACTCCCGTAAGGAAATAATTTTATATAAAGAATAGCTTTATAAATTAAGTGTACGAGAGACTTAAATTGAAATTCGATATAAGTGAATCGTATTAGAAAGTAAATTAAAGAGCATAGAAAAAGTATTTTCAGAAATACGATCTTTAGGAACTTTTTAATTGTAGTAGAAATGACGTCATTTGCCAACTTATAATGAGTTTTGATTCTCCACTCACAAACAAGTCGCTCTTAGCTAGTTAAGGTTTGGACTTCTTTTCATCGCTTTCACAAGGAGACAGAAATAAGTAAGCAATATCAAATCATCGCATCAAAAGCGTAAACTTAATTAGCTGAGTTTCTTACAGTGTTTTATAGTAGGTAAACCCTCGCGCGTTTGTATTATGATTCTCACAGAAAAGAGGTCGCACGAGCGAGAGAATTTTTTTAATCCCCATCATTTTATATTCAACGTTTAATTTCTCTAACGAGATGTTACAGCTGTACTGCATATCGACGTGGCTAAAAGCATGCCCTTATGAAAAAGTAACGAAATAATTACTAGAAAATTACTGTGCATCGGTAATTTCTGATAGTTCAATTACCGAGGTACAGTAATTTTCTAATAATTATCTCGTTGCTTTTTTATAAGGGCCGGGATCAAAAATGAGATTTAACTTATTGTTTATATCATGTATGACGCTTTATTTTATAGCGACATCAATTCCTCGTGTATCGAGAGAGAGAGAGAGAGAGAGAGAGAGAGAGAGAGAAAGTCAAAAAGAACAGACAAAAACCACCCTATATTACGGTACCAGGGACCTCGCGCTGTCACATTAACGATGTGCGATAATTGTCTTACGTGTCGCGAGCGGCAAACGCGCCCGTATTGCGTTTTGCAGCGGGGCCATCATTCAGAACGCGAGACTTCGGCAATTACTCCCGAGACAGGTTTATCTGGCAGGTGGGGACGCGGTTTTCGTAGCGGCTCCCACATCCGCTAGCGACAGTCGAGAAATAATGTTAATTGAATAACGGATTTTTCGTTTCGCACACGTGCGAGGCGCGGGCACGTGGTGGAAAATGCAATTTGCGCGATTTTTGCTCTGGCGCACAAATGACAGATACACGCGAACGAAACGCAGCGACGAGAAATGCGAGCCATCCTATGGCGAGTCCTGCAACGCCGTTCTTTTGGTCGGTGGACTTTTTAACTGGATTTTCCATCGCGTAAAAGCATATTAAATGAGAATCTCGCGGTTATTTTCTATGACCAGTACAATTCTTCAATATTTCTGAAAACTGAACGAGTGCGAAACTAACGGATACGCGATAGCGTTGAGAATTGTGTAAAAAGATTCTTTTGTCTCGCACAATACACGTTTTCCACTTTGCTTTATGCGGTATCAGTCAAATCAAACGCGCCTAGCGCATTTAATTGAGCGGAAATTTATTTGCACTTTGAAGCAAATATTGTGTTACATAATGCTCGTATCGCCGCGCTTTAATTGTTTGTCAGCAATAATAATTTGAATTGAATCAAAGTTTATTATTGCATGACTACAAAGTAGATACTGCATAAGAAATTATTATACATTCATCGATTCAAAAATCGCAACAAGATCCCACTCCAGAAAATACTATAAAGCAGCATGATCGATTACACCGTGAAGTAATATTAAAGCACATAAACGTGTTCCAATGCTTAATGCGAAAAAGAAGCAAAGAAAGCGCATGCATATTGATTAGACTTCGGCAAAACTTCAACCGTTATATTACGCGCTGTATATTGAGTTGCCAAAGGGAAAATATCAAGTTTTTCCAATAGACGGTAAATCCTTCATTGTCGATCAATAAACAGATGGTTACGATATAAAACAAGACAATTTTCAAATATTAAAAATAAACATAGAATTTCGAAATAGAGTACAAGAGGATACAAACGAAATCAAACTTGATAAACAAGATACAAAAGAAGAATCAATTAACTTGAATAATTTGTGTCTTGCATAATGTACTTCTTTTTTCAGTTATCAAATGAAGCAGTTACCAATATCTTGAATTACGAAACGGGAGCGAAGGCTTCATTCGAGGTACCGCGTGAACACTACCGGCCGATTACAGGTAGGCGAACAATTACAAATAAGATGTGTTGTAACAAACGCGGATAAATAATATTTTAAGCAATAGATTTCTTTCGATTTCTTTTTCGGCATCTTATTATTTTAATTGTCACGTATTACGAAAATTTGGGAAAAATAATTTCTATGCTGCGCAGGAATGGATCGCATTCAAGTAAATGTTTGTCTCAACCGACTGCTTGAAATTACATCTGCATAATTTTTACATTGGACTCTTACATCATGCATGCCATGTGTGGTTAAATGAATGTTTGCGTGCAATAACCATTGCTATCGACTCGACTAACGCTGCGACGACGATGCTTAATTGCTTGTCTAATTGAAATTGGTAATATTTGCGAGTAGTTTGCCACTAATGGCATAAGCTTGCGAACGAGATAATCTAGAATCTAAGAAAAAAATTGTTTTTCGAAGTTACTTGCTAATTTTACTATCGAGAGTCCTTAATTGTTTTTCGATTATAAAAGTGTATTACGCGAACTACCTAATTTCTTCTTCTGCTAATAATTACTTGAAAATAATTTATGCGTACGAAAGAGTAACTGTTTTCCGATCTTTAATTCCATTTAATTAGTTACTCAATTTCCATTTTAACAGGCTACTTGCAACTTATTGCAACTATGTTAATTCATTGTGAGATGTTCAAAACTGATTATGCATATGATCCAAGTATTTTTGTACTTTGTGACGGAAGCGTATCGCTCGTAAGCTTCGTAATTGAGGCGTTTGATACGGTAATTGCGTTATTGCACAAAATCGCGTTAATGGATGGACCACGCAGTCCCCGCGACAGTATCCAAACTAGTGTATAATTTCCGCACATTGAGTACTACAGAATAACCGTGTAATCGTATTCCGACTGCGATTAAGACCTAACGAGCGAGAATTTTAATCAGATTTTATCTGATCCAAGCAGAAACTACAATGAAACTTTTAATCTACCGTTTATGATCTTTTCAACTTTCGCATTTAACGCGATTACATTTTATAAAACAGGCCGCGTTCGCATTGCACATTTACTTTTTTTGCCGTATCGTGTAATATGCAAATAGTTTTGTTACCTTCATCACTAAATCCTAAAATATTACAGCATATTAACAAAGAGATAAAATAGTATGAGAATATTTATAAATATAATACAGGTAAAAATATACACATTCATATGTATATAAAGTTCTCCAAGTATTTAATCAGATTATTGAGACATTCTTATTCTGTAAACCTGTAAATATACGAATTATACATACAGAGGAAAGTCCTCTATTACGAGATAGGATTCTAATATGAGATAGTAGGTTTTCAACGTCAAAATTCAATTACACATTTTTTTTCGCAACGATTACACGATCTAACAATCAATTGTCCACTAAACAGATTTCACTCCAAGGGCTGATTGACAATAAATTCATGGTGGAACCAACAGATAATGCCTATTAATTTCTTATATTAGGAACCTACTCCATAATGGTGCACTTTCCTCTATGTATATATTAAAAGACTTCAAATTGTCCATGTTTCATTTTACGAAATATTATTTTATGATAACTTACAAATGTGTACACGTGTGTAGTAGATAACATTAATATGGAAATGTACAGAAATCATCAGATCACGAGATGAAAATGGATGCATAAACTTTGACATACGAAAATTTATATATAAATTTTCCCATATAATGCGCTAAAGTTTAGATTGCAGTCCTGAAATACCATACAGTTTTATCGCAGATATTTATACAATTATATTGAAAAACGTTTGCAGAAAGCAATAATGTGAATTTTATCATTGGCGTTCTGTTACAGACTGTATGTTTGTTACGTCAGAAAGCGGACCGTTCTCTTATATATCGCCGACCGATGATGACAACGTTTGTGGAATATATTTTTTGACCGATCCCGATCGTGTAGTAGAAATACATTTCCACAGCTTCGACGTTCCCTGCGATCATCGTGGACTTCTGGCAGTACGTAATCATTAATTATTACTTAGAATGTCGATTTTTATTCGAAAATTATTACTTTTCATCTAAATGTTACTGTTATCTGTTTCCCCCACCGGAAATAATTCTACAAAGCTATAAAATATAACTGCTAGAATCTAAGAAATTGTATGTATATTTAAAACGTGTTATAAAAAAATCAACATAAAAATGCTAGAACTGGAACACTTTTGTTAATTTTTTTTTGTAATATTCTACAAGTAAGCAAATGTTTTAATTCTTTAAGATTTTGTTGTTTCTCAAATTTTTAAAAGTATAGTAAAGTTTTGTACTAACTTTTATAAAATTGTACTTTTTTATGAAATACCACTTGCAATAATTTCTTGATTTGAGGACATTGTAATTTGTGGTACTTTTTTCTTAGATATTTTTACAAAAAGATTATTGACTTAAAATAGATTGTTTCAACAATCTATTTTAAGTCAATTTTTTGTAGTTAGTTATAGAAATTTTTTCCGCTAGGGTCCATTAAAGATTAAAAACGTATTTTATTTACAATTATTTATAATAGAAATACAACTTCAACTACTTTGTAATAGCAAACGACACAATTAATACGAAATAAAAGTAGTAAATTAAAATTAATTTCCAATTAAATCATGAAATAAAACAAATAGTTTTGTAGGGTAATAAACTTATTTCAGGGATATCATTTCACAACACGGATATATATCTTATGCTCGGAATTACACCGGAATTTATTAATTAAGCAAAAGTATTAAATTAATAAGGAATAATATAAGCTACGAAAATGTTTCCGAGTCACCGGCAGAGTAATAGAAGTTTAATTATGAAACTTGTAAATTTCTGGTGAATGTCATAAGTTTTGGATCTTTCTGAGAAAAGCAGAACAAGGGAAATATATGTATAATATGTTATCCTCCACAAAGCGCAGATCTCTCTACCGCGACATTGCAGGTTGCTTGCTTTTGCTTGTCAACGAATAACAATGCGCAAAATCGTAAAAGAGCTATTTAGAGGAAACAACAATGCCATAAACGAATTATTGTAAGGCACGTGCAGGATAAAAATCGAATCGCAAAGTTCTCCCTCTTCCCCATCCCCCCGTTCTCCCTATTGCTATTAATGGAAAACTCCTGTAGGGTAAAGCCAGATAATCCAACGATAGCCGTGTTTGTCATGTGCCGCGAATGCACAGAAGTCAATATTGCGTGAAGGAAGCTTTTAACAGCACCAGAAGCGAAATTTGTTCGTTCCGTTTTCGCGAAATGTCATTTCCCTGCACGAGCGCAACTCGATTTGATTATAACTCGAATTTTATGGTTTTTGGCGATTTCGTTTTATGTTTTTTTTTTAATAATTGTACCCACATTTCTATACCGTGCGATATTTAATATACTAATAGCTTCGTTCCCTTAAAAATAGTTTCCGCTGTATACATTAAATTCCTATAATTCCTATTAATTCTACATAATATAATACATAATACATATACAAGCTGTCTGTGTAAGCTGAAACTATAACTATATATGCACTTTGCAAGATTCTATACCACGATATTAATAATCACGGTATAATATTTATAACTCTTACTACATTTTACGACTTTAATATTATTCATAAAAATTTTATACGCTATTATTACACTCACACGCGCGCAAATGTATGTATACAGGGTGGGCCAGTACACGGTAATATCGTAGAACTTTGCAAAGTGCAAGTGTTACAGTTTTGGTTTATACAAAAATTATATATATTACAGTATGAAATATGTAAATAAAGCTATGGTTACATATATTTTCTTTATCACTATAAATATTTTTTTCATATTTTATATTGTAATATATGTAAAACAAAATTTAGAGTAAATTGAAAAATGCGCTCCCATTCGAACGATTAGATGATAGCGGTTGATGACGAGAAGATATAAAATTGTAATTTATCGAAAGGTAATCGACGGCTGGGAATTGAACGGCGAAATATTTCCGAGCGAGAGCGACCATTCATTATCGATGAAGGAAAGGACGAGCGAATTCTGCGGCAAGAACAGATGGTACAGGAGAACTTTCACAAGTTCGCAGAACGCTGCACTTGTTCAATATAGAGTACCTCTACGTGGGAAAGGCTTTATCGTATCCGCGAGATATCCAAAAAATCCAAGACGCAAGTATTATTGCTCCTACATGTTCTGAAAAACATTACTGACTTTTTGAATTTTTTGTACAATTACATTTTTGTTAGAGAGCTAAAAAACTTTATCTATAAGAGAATAGAATCTATAGCTCTATTACATTTTTAAAAGAATGATGAATTAAAAAAAGATAGAAAGATTCCAAGGAGCGCCAATGCGCATATAACGTGCTTTTAATGCGCGTCGTTATGCGTGGACATATTTCAGATATAATTTTATATAATTATCTATATTTATACACGCTTATGCATGAAAGATTGTGCATAGGAAATCAATGATACAGTTTTTTGCAACGCGCTGCCACAATATACATTAAATGTGCATTTAATGCAGGACAAATACATTCATTAAATGCGAATTTAAAAGTACATTTAAAGCACATTATACGCGCATTGGTGCTCCTTGGGATCGTCAAATGATTAATAAAATTAAATAAGGATTGATATGAAACGTTACTTTTATGTTTCGCATTTTATTTAGATATCGCTAATTATATCTTAATAATTAGGTCTTAAAGTGGCATTTTATTTCTAGCGTTGAATTAAAAGTGTACTATTTCTAATAATGTAAATTTTCCAATATTTTGTCTGACAATATTTAAGTAATTCTAGACTTTGTTTATAATAATTTCCTACAATTAAAAGTTGGATGTATCATTAAAATTTTAAATAATGAACGTTGAAAACTCGGTGATACCTCTTCTACATAAAGTGCTCTTAATGCATTAACATTGCAAATCCACAGCTATTCATCGCTTTAGTCTTGCAATTCGATTACGTCGCACAGGCTTCACGCTATTCTAAGTTTGAATATCGATTGTCTCAACGTCCTAGATATCCTATAGATCAGACTCTGATTAGATCCACCATTTCATCTGCGACAGAATACAATGAACCAGGCGCGCGTAAATTAGATCGTGTCAGGTCTAATTCTAGGATCCGAGATGTGTCATATTTTCTGTTTAGGTAAAGATAAGTAACACAAAAAATATACTGCGCGATTAAGGGCTAGTTTCCAATCTCTTGGTAAATTAACTAATATTTAAATCATATATGTGTCTTTGTTTTTCTTTCAAATTGGACAAAGATAGACATATAATTTAACTGTTAGTTTACCAAGAGGTTGGAAATTTTCTGGTTAATTGTTAACCAGAAGTTAGTCAAATCTCTAACATAGAAGAAGATGGACAGTCGACCAACTTCTAATGAACAATTAACCAGAAAATGAAACACCGGGCCTTAGCGAGCTACCTGTATATCACATTCAGGTAAAAAAAAACAAGTGATTGTGTTAAGTTAACACATTGACAGGAACGAGAATATTATGGTGTTATCGATTAAATAACAAACAAAAACAGGCCATTCCCAGCTGATTTGGACTAAAGATACAAATTAATGTATTAACAATTTTTGTGTTTTTGTTTCTGCTCTTCAGCCTGCAACGTCTTGTCGGTCAGCACGACGGATCCATTCACGCTTCGCAATTATGGCAGACGGATTAATTGCACCCTCGTGGCAGTGTATCCCGGTGCTGTACAAATAATTGCCCTCGGAATTGGCAGTAGCAGCTCGCACGGCGTCGTACGCACAACCGAAACCGGCACTTTACGTAAAGTACGTTGCAAAATCCTCTTCTTCACGTCACGATCCGTAGTCGTTTAAAAGTCTCTCTCGCGCCTTCAATGTTTCACCTCCGACATGTTGCGACAGAGTTGTTTTCATTCTTTTATACTATATAAAATCCAAAAATCGAGTTTAATGATAATCCAGCATTCGCGATCGATTAGTCTGAAACTAACGATTTTTATTCACCTTTTATTTAAAGTAGCCACCCTTGGGAAAATTTACTTTAAATGAAATTAAAGCTTTTCAAAATAATCTTTCAAATCTAAGAATTTACTTAAGAAATTTTTGGGTAATTTTGGACACTTAAAGTAATTTTTAAATAGCCAAGCCTGTCCAAGTTCTCGTAAGAAGAAAACCGCATGAGGTTTTATAAATTATATCACATACTTTCACAATTCTTAAAGTTTTTTAAATTCTTAAGGTAAGTTTTGAGTTTACCTTAAAAGTTTAAAGTGTCCAAATTTTTCTAGAGTACATTTCCCAAAGGGCAATCTTTATTAAAAACATTTGCATTTATAAAAGAATCTTTCAATCGTACAGATACAAGGGCAAACTGTTTCGATGAGAGGATCCAACTGTGATTTTATATAGTATATTGGACAAGTTTCATGCGCTTTTTTGACGTATGGCTAAACTCTTTTTGGTGCGCAATATTTATCTGCGATCGGTTTATTTGCAGTGCGACGCGAGGAGTCCGCGGGATCAAGTGCAGATTGGAGGCAGCCGCGGTCTCGACACGACGAAACTCGACGTAATTGACTCCATTTGCGGCATTGATTCCAAACCCGGTAATGAGTCTTTCATACACGGGATCAACGATTGAAAGCGCCGACTCGCTGAATAGAACGACGTTAATTTCACACATGATTCATTTTTGCAACTTGTGCATGCTTTTGCCATCATGCCTGTACAAAGGACACTGCGATGGAGTACCTTTGCCTGTAATTAAAAGCAAATTTGTCTTCTTCATTTTAGATATAAAGGAGCTCGTGGCGTACGACATAACAGCGGTACGGCTGTTATCGAGCGGCTACTACGATAACTCGGTGACGGTGGCAATAAGTCCAATTGTAGACGACAGTCTACTGGATTCCACTTCCGGTCTTTAAAGCGACTGCAATCTCGTCATCGTCCGTCGCACTCGCTGGCGCGTCCATTCTCGGTGCATTTATCTCGGAACATGCGGACGCAAACATTGGGTTGTGCAAAACATAGGCGTGTCCCTCCGATAGTTTGCCCATTATTTATCTATTTGTTTTACACATGCTAAAAGATAGCGTAGAACGTTGCGTATATGTGAGCGAAAGAAAAAAGCTGATTGTGAGTTCTTTCAAAGACTGATTATTCCAATTATATTCTCTTCTCGCATTCTTCTTCTTCTTCTTCTGCTTCATCAACGGCAGCGTTCTCTTTCGTCATGCTTCTCTCGCAATAATTTTTTTATAATTATAAAAATTATAATATAATGCTTGATATTTATTTTGTCGCTACATTTAATTGATTCTCACATCGTTAAAGCATTAACGTTTAAATAATAATTTCGCAGTTTCGTTAAATGCGAACGCAGATACAAATCATATACTCAACCTTTTTATTTTATATTGAATCAGGAAATGGAGTATTTTATGACCTGCATTATAATTTCTACATTAGTATTGTTAGAAATTGCTTTCTGACTAAGAGTGAATGTGTTTCAAATGAAACAAACGTGAAGCGGTAGACAGCTTAAAATGTATATTTGTATTTATTTAAGTTAATAAACAGTCGAAAGTAGATATATTTATCGCTTAATAGATATTCTCGACCGTTTCTTCGGTTAGAAACGATTATGTACGACAGCAGCTTTAGACAAATAAATTTGTGTTAATTGCATTAAATTTGACAAACAAAAATATTTTGTACAAAAAGTTACATGTAGAGATAATAAATTAAATTGACGAGATATCCAAGTGTAATACAAAGACATGATATTTAAAATATTTTTCATCCAAGGCGTCCAATTTCGGGCAATTAAACATGGCGTTTAATTTGTATTTATTCCTATTGTTGACCAATAAAATTCTCACCGAGTATTCAGCAATTCAGCGGTGCACGATGCGATGTAGCGCCAAAAACACTCGTTATCATTCGCCCTCCACGAAGCGAAATTTACATTTCGCTCGATATCCGATACCAGAGAGAAGCCTGAGAGATGTCACGGCCCCGTTTTTCGTGATACGCGAATGCGATACGCCCTCTGTGGACATTGAAAACGTGGACATTGAACTACGTAGCCAATTTGCACATTTTGCTAAGTGGGTAACGCAGATTTGCACAATTTTAGCCCCGTCCCGCGCTATGGTTAGATCCCATGCAATGATCTTGTACTTAAAATAATCTTAAGTACAAGAGCATCGCACAGGACCTGATTATA